TATACCATATTTTTACGCTATTGAGAAAGAACGGCGGCCATTTTGTCTATCAATTTTGGGCCGATTTTCACGAAATTCGAACTCAGCCATCCTTAGGGTGTAACGGTGATACAATAATACGTTTTTTTTAAATCAGATAAAAATTGTGACCTCTGGAAGGGCCACAAACTAAAAACGCAATTCTTCGTACAATCAAGGGCCATAGTTCAGGAAGTTACGATCCGATATGCAAGAATATCAAAAGGAACCAGGATCTTTGGGTTGTAAACATGTATTTCAAGTCATCAAAATTCAATTAAAATTGTGACCTTTAGATGGTCCGCAACCTTGATATACAGTATGTTTATTGTTTATGTAGTAGGGCAGGGTTCGGATACTGGATGCAGCGGCAGTTAATGTCATGAAACAAACAATAAACAGATATAATTTGATACTTTTTATACGCCCACATTTTCATGTGGACGTATTATGCCGTCGCCCCTGTCCGTCCGGACATCTGTCCGTCCACAATTGTTTGTGGACTCTCTACAGGTCACAATTCTTATCCGATTTTGATGAAACTTGAAATATAGGTTTATCCCCAAAAGATCTCGGCTGCTTTCGATATTGCCATGTATCGGATAGAAACTTCATGGATTATGGCACCTGATTGTACGAACCAGCGGCTGCCAGGCAGGATACGCCCACATTTTCGAGAGATGGATAGATAACAAGCTAAAAAGAAAGCGATTTTTCGTACAATCAGGGGCCATAATTCAGGAAGTTACGGACCGATATGCACGAATATGGAAAGGAACCGAGATCTTCAGATTATAAACTTACATTTCAAGTTTCAACAAAATCTGATAAAAATTGTGACCTCTATAGGGTCCACAACCTTGATATACCATATTTTTACGCTAATTGAGAACAAACGGCGGCCATTTTGTCTGTCAATTTGGGGGCGATTTTCACAAAATTCAAACTCAACTGTCCTTAGGGTGGAACGGTAATATAATAATACGTTTTTTTAAATCGGATAAAAATTATGACCTCTAATGGGTCCACAAGCTAAAAACATGATTTTTCGTACAATCAGGGGCCATAATTCAGGAAGTTACGGTCCGATATGGGCAAATATCGAAAGGAACCGAGATTATTGGGTTATAAACTTACATTTCAAGTTTCAACAAAATCGGATAAAAATTGTGACCTCTATAGGGTCCACAACCTTGATATACCATATTTTTTACGCTATTTGAGAACGAACGGCGGCCATTTTGTCTGTCAATTTTGGGCCGATTTTCATGAAATTCGAACTCATTCGTCCTTACGGTGTAACGGTGATACAATAATACGGTTTTTTAAATCGGATAAAAATTATGATCTCTATAGGGTCCCCAAGCTAAAAACGTGATTTTTCGTACAATCATGGGCCATAATTCCGGAAGTTACTGTCCGATATGCGCGAATATCGACAGGAACCGAGATCTCTGTGTTATAAACTTACATTTCAAGTTTCAACAAAATCGGATAAAAATTGTGACCTCTATAGGGTCCACAACCTTGATATACCATATTTTTACGCTATTTGAGAACGAACGGCGGCCATTTTGTCTGTCAATTTTGGGCCGATTTTCATGAAATTCGAACTCATTCAACCTTAGGGTGTAACGGTGATATAATAATATGGCTTTTTAAATCGGATAAAAATTATGACCTCTATAGGGTCCACAAGCTAAAAACGCGATTTTCCGTATAATCAGGGGCCATAATTCAGGAAGTTACGGTCTGATATGCGCGAATATCGAAAGGAACCGAGATCTTTGGGTTATAAACTTACATTTCAAGTTTCAACAAAATCACGAAATTCGAACTCAGCTTACCTTAGGGTGTAGCGGTGATATAATAATACGTTTTTTTAAATCGGATAAAAATTATGACCTCTATAGAGAGAGAGAGAGAAATGGGGTTTAACGTCCACTCGACACAAACTAGGTCATTTCGGGACCAACATATGGTTAAATTTTATTTCAATAATTCGCTTGCGCGTAGGGGTCTTTAGCAGTGGGAGGAAACCGGAGGACCCGGAGAAAACCCACGAGGCTGGACAGGCGACCCTACTCCTTGTCACGTACAACCGAGGATTCGAAACCACACCAGTCGACTCAATGACAGACTTTATGATACAGCGCGCGCACGCTAACCATTCAGCCATCCAACCCCCCTATGACCTCTATAGGGTCCACAAGCTAAAAACGCGATTTTCCGTACAATCAGGGGCCATAATTTAGGAAGTTACGGTCCGATATGTGCGAATATCGAAAGGAATCGAGATCTTTGGGTTATAAACTTACATTTCAAGTTTCAACAAAATCGGATAAAAATTGTGACCTCTACAGGGTCCACAACCTTGATATACCATATTTTTAAGCTATTTGAGAACGAACGGCAGCCATTTTGTCTGTCAATTTTGGGACGATTTTCACGAAATTCGAACTCAGTCGTCCTTAGGGTGTAACGGTGATATAATAATACAGTTTTTTAAATCGGATAAAAATTATGACCTCTATAGGGTCCACAAGCTAAAAACGCAATTTTTCGTACAATCAGGGGCCATAATTCAGGAAATTACAATTCGATATGCGCAAATATCGAAAAGAACCGAGATCTTTGGGTTATAAATTTACATTTCAAGTTTCAACAAAATCGGATAAAAATTGTGACCTCTATAGGGTCCACAACCTTGATATACCATATTTTTACGCTATTTGAGAACGAACGGCGGCCAATTTATCTGTCAGTTTTGGGCCGATTTTTATGAAATTCGAACTCAGTCCTCCTTATGGTTTAACAGTGATATAATAATACGTTTTTTTAAATTGGATAAAAATTATGACATCTATAGGGACCACAAGCTAAAAACGAAATTTATCGTACAATCAGGGGCCATAATTCAGGAAGTTACGGTCCGATATGCGCGAATATCTAAAGGAACCGAGATCTTTAGGTTATAAACCTACATTTCAAGTTTCAACAAAATCGAATAAAAATTGTGACCTCTATAGGGTCCACAATCTAAAAACGTGATTTTTCGTACAAACAGGGGCCATAATCCATGAAGTTTCGATCCGATACATGCCAATATCGAAAGCATCCGAGATCTTTTGGAGATAAACCTATATTTCAAGAATTGTGACCTGTAGAGTGTCCACAAACAAATTGTGGACGGACGGACGTGTGTGTGTGTGTGTGTGAGTGTGGGTGTGAGGGTGTGTAGGTGTGTGTGTGGGTGTGTGTGTGTGTGTGTGGGTGGGTGGGCTGGTGTGTGTGTGTGTGTGGGTGTGGGTGTGTGTGGGTGTGTGTTTCATGCAAATCAGATTCCTCAGAATCTAACCATAGGATCTTTCTGAAACTTTGACCGATCCCCCATCCCGCAAAAAAAATGGGTGGCAGCTGTTGATTAAATATATTTTTAAAACGTTTTACGAATCCGAAATCAACGAAATTTACGAACGAAGAAATTGACCTACATGTACATACCTATAACTTTGTGACTATTTGACCTATTTTACTAATTCTTTTTTTTTTTGAGTACCTTGAAATATTTACTTCAAATCTGCTATTTCCGATTTTTGATTTTCGAAAATTACGTCATTGACATTTCATACCGGAAGTAAAACCAAACTGAAATCTCTATAATATTAGCACAATTTTCATGAAATTTAGAATGTATGTAGATCTCATTGACCCAACTTCAACGATACCATTAGATATGTCCTAACTTATCTCCCCTTGGAGAAATTAAGGCTTAAATTTTTTTTAAAAATCAACAAAATATAGGTCAGATTGCCTTGAAATTTTTTTTCTATACTAGCTGAGGAATTCCTGATGCACACACAAAATATGAAGTCTGTCGATAGAACCGGAAGTGCCACCATCTTTAAACTTTCGGAGCAGAATTTTGATTTAGGTCAAGTGATCGTCACCATTTTGAAGTGAATATGAAAGATAGGTTGCCAGGCAACGAAACATACGCCCACGGCAGCTATATCGTCCAGGAAGTCAACAAGAGTTGTCGCATATTTTTACTTTTTTTGGTAATGAAACATTTATAATACATTAAAATCTGATTAAGAGTAAAAACTCATTAAGTAATTCACAGAAAACCATTAGAATTTGTTTGTTTTTTATAAAGTTCTGCCCCATGCTAAAGTTTAGTATATGAAACTTTTAACATCATGGATTTAGCTGTTCAAGTCATAAAGATTCATTGAAAATCAATATACTTGTTCGTCTCAAGACCTTAAACTCTGTGTATCAATCTCAAGTCAATCGGATGATAACTTTAGCCTCTAGAGCATCCACAAGATTTTTCAAAGTGATCAAGGGCCATACTCTGGCAGTAATTATCGGAAATCGGTGAAAATCAATAGGCCTTTTCGTCTAATGACCTTAAACACTGTGTATAAATTTAAAGTCAATCAGATATTAACTTTAGCCTCTAAAGCGCCACAAGATTTTTCAAAGTGATCAAGGGCCATAACTCTGGCAGTAATTATCGGAAATGGCTGAAAATCAATAGGCTTCTTCGTCTCATGACCTTAACCACTGTGTATAAATTTAAAGTCAATCGGAGATTAACCTTAGCCTATAGAGCGACCACATCCAACCAGTTTTTAAACAGCTTGATCCATTTTGCTGAAACTTCTGGAACGGGAAGTCATTCCGATTACAGCAATACAAGTTTCAATTATTTCCCTTTAGTAGGGTGACCCACCATAAATAAATATCTCCAAATATCTCGACAAGTACGCCACAATATTTATATATATGCCAAGCCTCAAATCAGTTTCACACAATTATAGTCACGAAATAAACAATCATGTTGTACTTAATAAGCTATGACCATTTAATGATCTATAAATAATAGACTGAAACTGGTTCCAAGTTTCGTCCATAACATCCAGACACTTTTGAGTAAAAGATAGGTTACTTGCCCTTGTTTTGAAATTAGTCTCGCTTAACCAGTCTATCGACCATTCTACGTCTGATTGACAGGTAGGGATAATCAAGACTACTTTTTTACGAAACATAACAGAAAGCTAGAACAAGAAATTGAATTTATTTAATAAGCACTTTAGCCAACTCAACAATTGTTTTAAGAAACTTGTAAAAGTAAAATGAAACTACTGCTAGTATCATGTTCCTGCTAACGGAAGTGATTCAGAGATATTATTTGTACTAAACCAAAAGATGCCGCTCTTAACGGTACAGTTAATGATAAAGCAATTTAAAAAATAAAACAAACATAATTTCTAAAGCTGCTGTAATAACCAAGAAGCTAAATTTTACTGCTATTCAAAATCGTCAACAATAGATTTTTTACGGCTGTAATAGTTGATATATTTGTAGAGAATTGCACGTGCCACGGCTATTTATCGACTCAAAGAGATTGCGGGGTAGTCAGAAATCAGTTCAAGACACGCAATTGAAGCGAGCACATTTAGCCGTGTCGAGACCAACTTTCTGTAGAGTGCACGGGTCACCCTACCTTTAGTTTTCAGATTATTTTTTTGCCCGGGCGCAATGTTTCTCACTATATTTAGAGTTGTAACTTCGCGAGTTTTTGACCAATTTTGATAATTTTTTCTTGTTCTTTTTTCTTTTAAGAGACTTGATATAATCCATGACACGTGACGATGAATATGAAAGCTTTCATATCTGCATGGGACAGTAGCAGATCTAGTTATTATTCAGTTTTTACATGTTAGTGACGTCAAATCTTTAACGTGCACGAAACCAGAAAATGGGCGATAATTGATTGAATATTCAATCAATTTTTGAACCAGTTACATTTTTGAGTAGCTGACAGAACGCAATTCCGAGGTCCCGTGTACACATTGGTGTGACCGTAAAAGATCCCTTGGCAGTTGGAATTCTATATAAAAGTAGACGGGCAAAACTTTCCTCATTCCGAGCAGAACAGTTAGGCGTTAAACCCCCATTTCATTTCATTTCTAATTACACCTTGAGTTTCAACCTAAACTCTAATTACGACTACAATTTTTACTTTGATATTAATATCTATTGCGATTCCAATAGATAACTTCGGTGTGAACCGCGACATTGCTTTTCATCCAATTCGCGAAACTGTTCTTTTTCCATTTTGCGTAGATCTCAGAAACTGTAAGAAGTGATAAGAGTTCTGAATACTGATGTTTTCCCATGTAAGTTGTTAACAGTTAACAATTGTAAGTATTGCGAAAGTTGTGAGCAGCTCGAAAATGATGTAATTCTATAACGTGCACAAAGACTCTGTAGAGACTTTAATCTTTTGTATGAAATCTTTGAATCATAAATATCAGTGTAGGAGAAAAGGGGACCGAGAATTGAAAACTGCCTATAGCATGGTTTTTTTTTAAGTGTACCATAGGTTCCCAATCCCATCTGAATTATGAAATTCCAATTCCTCTTACAAAATCCCTGTTGTCTCAGGGAAGATTGATACATATTCTTCCAAAATATATTTTAAAAAAGATAATTTTTCGCAAAATAATTTTTTTATTGAACATTATACCTAACATGTTGAAATTTTTTGAATCTTATCACTCTAGATGAAATTATATCAAATGCAAACAATGCACATTAAAATTCATATAAATAGCAATCTCTATAGGTAGAATATACATTGAATTATGTTAAATGAATGAAGATGCTATTATTTTTGGGTCATAAGACAGTAAAGATGACCATTTTAGTAAATATAAAATGTCTCTTTTGAATTGGACAGACGCATGGCACATTTATTTTCCATTCAGATATTAACTGTTGCTTATATATATTAATAATTTTCTTCAAAAGTTTAATGTAATAATACATTATCTAAATCTGAAGTTTCATGGGATATGATTTACAAATTAATTTTTAATTTAAAAATTAATTGTATTGCTAATGTTACATGTGGACAGACATTCTGGCAGATTTGTAACATTAGCACTAAAGTTTGAAGAAAATTTCTATTTATAGTGTTGATGTAAGTAGTTACTGAGATATTTTACATGCTAAATAAAGCATAAGATTAAGAATTTAAGATTAATATAATAAATATAATCATATATTTTAATAACCTAAAATTTAAACATTTATCGGGCATGCAACTGTTGCTAATGTTACATAAGGACAGACATGGACATTGTATAAATAACTGTATTACTTGAATTATTGTTTTTAACTAAAAATTCAAATAGTCCGCAATGAAAGGTATTAATAAATTGTATAGTATTTCTAACCTTGGGTGAGTTTTAAATTTAAAATCGGACAAAAAGTATTTTAAATACACGTGCTAACGTAAGGACAGACGGTTTATTTAATCGGTCTGACAATTGACACGTTAGCACTTTTTTGCGGGGGTCAAAGTCATTTTGATCGAGTGAATAAGGCGAGAATGCTGACCGCCATGTTTATGCATCGGGAATCGGAAAGCCGGTTTTCTTTTCTAAAGGCCGTAAAGAAAGTGGTACATTTTGAGTTAATAACGCCATGAAAGGCGAATTAGTGGTGCTAACGTATCAAGGGTGCTAACGTTAACATTTTCGGACAGACAACTGTAAAAATGGCATAATCTATCGACTACCCGTGTCAAATTATCCGTATCCTGTGTGAAAGATCGAGACTACACTCACGCTTCGTTTGCAGTGGTTATTCAAATTCTATAACGTAATATGAAGCCGAAAAGAAGTTCACAAAACAAATGTAAGACCACTTCAATAATGTAGTGGATGGACAGACTAATCAAGTTTTCACTGGGGTTTGAACAATTCAATTTTTGGAACTTGTTATTTTTCTCATCAGTATATTTTTAAGTCTGTTTTAAAGAAGACACACTTGCCATTATAATTATACAAAAATAAATTAAAAATTTTAAAACAAATGTTATTTCAATGTATTCTAAAATCTTGATAAAAAATGACTGTCTTAAATGATGTAATTCATTAAAATATTTGTAACTTCACAAGGTTCAATAACGTGAAACAAGGGCCATAACTCTAGACGTAATAAACGGAAATTGCTGAAATTCAATAGGCTTCTTCGTTTCAGTAACCTAAATCATGCATATAAATTTCAGAAAGATCGGATGATAACTTTTGACGTTAGAGCGTTCACAAGGATCAATAAAGTGAAACAAGGGCCATAACTCTAGACGTAATAAACAGGAATTACTGAAATTCAATAGGCTTCATCGTTTCAGCAATGTAAATAATGCATATAAATTTTAGAAAGATCGGATGATAACTTTTGACGTTAGAGCGTTCACAAGGATCAATAAAGTGAAACAAGGGCCATAACTCTAGACGTAATAAACGGAAATTGACGAAATTCAATAGGCTTCTTTGTTTCAGTAATCTAAATAATGCATATAAATTTCAGAAAGATCGGATGATAACTTTTGGCGTTAGAGCGTTCACAAGGTTAAAAAAAGTGAAACAAGGGCCATAACTCTAGACGTAATAAACGGAAATTGATGAAATTCAATGGGCTTCTTTGTTTCACTAATTTAAATAATGCATGTAAATTTCAGAAAGATCAGATGATAACTTTTGGAGTTACAGCGTTCCCAAGGTTCAATAAAGTGAAACACGGGCCATAACTCTAGACGTAATAAACAGAAATTGTTGAAATTCAATAGGCTTCTTCGTTTCACTAACTTAAATATTGCATATAAATTTCACAAAGATTGTATGTTAACTTTTGGCATTAGAGTGTTCACAAGGTTCAACAAAGTGAAAAAAAGGGCCATAACTCTAGACGTAATAAACGGAAATTATTGAAATTAAATAGGCTTCTTCATCTCACTAATGAAAACAACATATATCAATTTTAAAACAATTGGATGATAACTTTTGGCGTTAGAGCGTTCACAAGAAATTGTGGACGATGGACAGACGGACGGACGGACGGACAGGGGCAACGGCAATATACGTCCACATTTCAATGTGGGCGTATAAAAACTGTAAGAAGCGATAGATTTTTCCTCATGAAAGTTGTCAACAGTTATGAGTTAGACATTAAAGCCCATTTCATTTCATTTCTAATTACACTTTGAGTTTCAACCTAAACTCTAATTAGGTCTACAATTTTGACTTAATATCTATTACGATTCCAGTTTTGACCACAACTTCGGTGTGTCTTGATTACGACCTCAATTTCTAATGTCAACTCTAATTACGTCCTTGAGGTTACAACTTCGATTTCGATGTAAACTCAGATTACGCACAATAAAGTTTTGAATTTGATCATTAAAGTGATATACATTTCGATTTCAGTTTCGACTGCGACTTCGTTGTCGACCGCGATTTTAGATTTTAGATTTTCGGCGTAGACTCTAATTGCGTCTTCGGTTTCGAGCTTAACCTCGACTACAAAATGTCGTCGAGAATGCTATCTTGAGCTCTCCGTGATGTTATCGGTGGGGTGAAAGCCTTCAGTACTCCGTTGGAGTTCTAGTTATCATTATTATTGTAAGCAAACACACGCTACTGCTGTGTCTCTGTTATGTAATAACTAAAGAAATTGTCATTTGGGAATGAAAATTCAATGAAGTAAGTTCAGCTTTTATTAGAGCTTAAATTTGGCTGCAATATTGCTCTGTTGTCGTGGCCTGGGCTACAATTGGTACATCCATTAAAGCTAAGCGTAAGTTAACCAGCGGCTGCCAGGCAGGATACGCCCACATTTTGCAAGAGATGGATAGAGAACAAGCAAAAAAACAAACAGGATTTTTTGTACAATCAGGGTCAATAATCCAGAAAGTTATGGTCTGAAATGCCCAAATATCAAAAGGGACTGAGATCTTTGGGATATAAAGATATATTTTAAGTTTCATCAAAATCGGATAAAAATTGTGACCTTTTGAGGGTCCACAACCTTTGTAGCATACTTTTGCACAATTTGCGTACAAAATGCGACCATTTTGCAAGGCAGTTTCATTTCGATTTTCCCAAAATTCGAATTCAACCTTCATTATGGTGGAATGGTGATATATTTGAACGTTTTTTAAAATTGGAAAAAAAAAGATGTGACCTCTAGAGAATTCGCATGCTAA